TCTTTTCCCTTTTATGGGTTTTAATGAACATTAATTAACTTTGAGATTTACCTCCATTTTTTTGACTAACTCCTTAGCATTAGGTGCAGATACAATAATATGGCGGGCACTTGGACTTATAAAACCTTCTTCCACAGCTTGATCAATGAAGGACAGCAAGGAATTGTAATACCCATCCACATTCAGCAGTCCAACCTGAAGAACTCACTTAATGTTAATGAAAACCAATTAAGGATTCTTAATGAAAATTTGAAAAAATTATGAAGGTGTGGCTTACTGGTTTATCATGAATGCCAAGTTGGGCCCAGGTGGTAACTTCAAGGAGCTCCTCTAAAGTTCCATAGCCACCTTCATTGGCAAAACCACAAAGAAATGTCAAGAGGCATATTTAATTAATTGGGCCTAAAAGATGGGCTACATATTGGGCCTGTATAACATAATATCAGAGAAATAAGATCTCTGTAATAAATGTAGAAAGGGGTGGAAAAAATAGGGAGGGACTTAGGGACCATCTGCTTTAATTTCTTCCTTCTTTCTTTCTCCGGGGCTAAGGGATGGTACCCTGAAATTACAGGCCATAGAGTATAGACTGCCATTCCTCAGAAAAAGACTGCACCCTAATTTCCTATGTCACAATTGTTCATAATCAAATCTCACACTACTTAGACAACTTTTTTTTTCTTAACAAGATCGAGTGGACATATGCTGTGGATAAAACAACAATTATTTAAGTCAACCTAAGTTGACAACACCTATAATGTTAATTATAAGAGGTCATAAGTTTTTTGTTTTTTTGGTATACATGTTTTAACTAGTTGAGCTGTCTTAACCCGTATTTACCAACTTTTTAATATAGTGGTAACTTTTTTTTTTTTTGGTGGATAAACTCATCTCTTGATAAAGATACAGAGTTAGAAGTAGAGCAAAAAGGCCAGGGCCCAGTTTGAGAGGCGGTGCATTAATAATGTTGGGCTAAGCCTATTTTGCCTAAGCCCTCTAAGCTGGGGGCCCAAAAAGCCCTACCAAACTTTTCTTTTATTGTCATTACAATAGTTTTGTAGGGCTAAAATGGAGAAACAGGAGTGTGAATGTGAGATGTGGGAGCAGCAAGAGACAAATAAAATATAGAGTGAGAGAAAAAATAGTGAACTTTAAACAAAATTTATGGGGAGAATGCAGATAGAGAAACGAACCAGGCAAGGCAATGAAGGCATCAGATCGCCTGGCCATCTCGGCCTTCCTTTGGTGCATGTCTGCAACTGTCTTCACTTCCCCCACTGTCTCTCCAGTTATCTGCAATGCGAATTTTATGTCTCACTTATTCAACACACAGTCGTCAAATATTGTGGCCGTGGCAGTGTGAAGTTGATGTTTTTGTACACTAATGAAAGTGGAAATCTCACAGGAAACTCTGAGTCTGGACATGCGACTTTATTACCCATATGGATAAAGTGGTAAAAAGAAATACCCCCCAATCCCATTTCTTCCATCCAAACAAACAATGGAGTAAAAAATCTGAAATCTGTGATGGGTTTTTCAAGATGGGATATCCAAATTGAGGTTCTCATTTTGTCAACCACAAGAAGGGGAAAACAGAGCAAAAGCCCTTTGTAGGATAATGCTGGATCGCTGCTTGTTAATTTCTTACACTTCTTTTGAAGTGGAATTTAAATGATTTAAACTTAATATAACAGTGGAATTTGGCATTAGCACTCAACATACCTCTCTTGGCATGAGGGTCTTGGGGATGACTCTGCAAATGGAAACCAAATTATTTTTATTGTTTTCCACAAAATGTCACAAAAGGAAAAAGAGGAGAAATAGAAGGGGAAAATGATGCTAACCCAACAACATGGCGACCACCGTTATAAACAGCTTGGGACACTAATCCCATCAGTCCAACACTCCCTCCTCCATAAACCAGATCGATATTCCTCGAAACCTTTTGATCAAGAAAAGTGTCAGTCAATCAACCAACCAATTGATAGAAACAACCAAAGCTTGAAAAACCCTTTTGATTAATAACTCAAAAACAGGAATTGGATTTCATTGCTGAATTCTAGAGAAACAGAGCCGCAGAAGGGGAAAACAGAGAGTTGAGCTGGTTATTACTTCACAACCAGTTGTTGGGATTTGGGAAAGTGGAAGATGATTTTGGAGGATGGTTTGAGATAAAATAGTTAGAAAGATGAAGAAGGGAAGGCAAAAAAAAAAGAGAGGGGGATTGTTCATTACCAGCTCTTTTCCGAGCTCAATGGCAGCATCCTTGTAAGTAGATTTCTTGCCGGGGCTACTGCCACAGAAGACACAGATCCTGTTGAAAATTGGTAATTTGGTATCGTTTTGGTTCTCCATTGGTGGGAAATGGCGGCTGTGGATTGGATTTCAGAGAAGTGTGTTTTGTGGGTGGTGGTGGAGGAATGGTGTGGTTACATATATAGCTAGCTCCACACCATGAACAACATTCACGCGCCTAATTCCTCTCTCTAGGTCCACTCTTTTCAGGACACACCAAACTCACTGCATTACCTCGACTCAAATTTAGCAATCTCACCCACCAATCAAAATATCCCCTTTTCCCTCTCTTTCCCCTTCCCTCCCCTCACTCTTCTTTTCCTTCCCAATAAATTACACAATTATCTCCGTTAATATAAGACYTTTTAGGTAAAACAAAAAATAAATCATGAGAGTTAGGTAAAAAACGGACAGYATCATAGTAAGAGCTATACCAAAAAAYGATATATAGATTATGACAAGTATCTTTATTGAGATGAGATGTAAATTTGGATAACAACAAAAAATAAAATGTAAGAACTATACCAAAAGTGAACAGYATCATATCTATTATCTTATCAGCATGAGRACAYCTCTCCAGACAAAATGGAAGTATTTTCTATTTCTAATTTGTAATGGTTTGTTTATTATTTTTTAAACCACTAAGATTAAAACTCGTCCCAACCAAAACAAGAAAGGGAAAATGATTTAACATTATAATAATAATAATAAAGGCACCAGCTTTAACTTTCTTGAATTTCGTTTGGGTTATTTTTGACTGAATAACCGAAAAGAAGTTGGGTTTAGATGATGATGATGTGTGGCAATTGGGGAAGAGGGTTGAAAATGGGGGCTTTGTTTTTGATTAATTGAAAGTAATTAAAAGAGAAGCCAAATTCCAAAAAGGCAACAAACGAAAGTGGGTTTGTTTTTGTTGGCGCTACGGTGAACAGTTCTCGCAAGGACTTAGCGTGGTTGGGGCATCCCCACAGCCACCCCCACGAGGCTGAACTGTTAGAACAACTGTTGGAGTTTTTTGACGAAATAATCAGAATATTCTATGCCTTTATGGATTGGGCAGATTGATCTGTCCACATTTTACAAAGCTACCTCCATTAACACTAAGCTTAGTTTCATTCTTCGGGTCGTATGTTAATTAAGAATTTAAATCTAATTATTTTTATTATCGAATTTACTCTTTCTTTAAAGGCTTGGACAAACAAAAGTTTCCAGCCTTAGTAAGTTTGGATTTTGATATCTTGTGACTCACATTGACCCAACATAACCTATGATTTGAAAAAAGAGAAATTGCTCTCTAATTACTCAAATATTACATGCATGGAAAGCAAAACAACGTACCAAACAACTTATTAATTATTTGATTACTATTGAATATGTGAGCTCCAATTTAGTAAGGAATGAGCACCTCAAAAAGTAATAGTAGGAACATATATCAAAATGAATGCATAATATGGGAGATTACTGAGATTAGGGTATGATTAATAAGTATATGTTTTTTTTTTCTCTTTAAATTAATGTTAAGTTGTTAGGATAATGAAAATAATAAAATAATGGGGAAGAAGGAACGAGTTATAAGAAAGAAGAATGGCATCTTGGGGTGTGTCCTAAAAAGGTATCCATGGTGGACAAACTTGCTATAAGCATAGGAAACACTTATAATTTTAGTTGTTAAAGAAACAAAGRAGCCTCCACTTTCCCACATTCTCTGTCTCCCTCCCATCACTTCCTTCATCCTACCTATTTTACTTTATTCCCACATCCACTATTCCTTTTTAAGTAGCTACAATTTCTTTCTATCCACCATTAATTTTTTTTTTGTTTTGTTTTGTTGGTATTCATTTTTTTCAAGAAAAAGGTGTTCCCTCCTCTTTCTCCCTATCATATGATARTTGTAACCAACTCTCCACTCAAGCGAGGAAGGTATTCTTACGTAAGCTAGGATGATCCACACCTTCATCAGATGTGATTGGTACGTTGAATCACGTGTCATGTGAATAGTACATTTAAAAACACAGTCATGACAAACCGCCACAAGAATATATATATAGGATAGTGCCAGAGTAAGGCAATAACTCACACACATTTGATTGACTCTAGAGAATGCTTAATAGCTCATCATATGACGTTGCTCTTCGTGTGCATTAGTGTAGATATACTTCCATTCATCAAAGTCATATGTGGACTGACATGAAAGTCAGCAGCCAAAGAAAAGAAATTTCTCTCAACAAAAAACGGAAGCAATATTCAATTTGAGGTATGCAATCAGATCCCAATCMATGTATGTCTAAGCCTAGTTCAATACCAACTTAAGCTTTGGAGAGCTCYTKRCTAGCACCATGCTAATGTTAATTTCTTATTCACATGTATTCTCAAAGAGAACTACTCGTTGGGCCAACAACACAAAAGACCACCTAGCTCTGCCGCGTAGACAAAGTTAAATAAATATTCAAAACACACACTATACTCGTGCCTCTCCCTTTCTAATTAATGCCAAATTACAGTCATAAAAAATGGCATAATTCTAGAATTAAGATAACGAATAAAAATAACATTGCCGGATTCAAAACAAAGGTTATTATAATAAGAGAATATACAAATGCATGGAAGGCCAATTGAATCTTGGTCAAAAGTCCGAAAAGTAAAAATTGAATGCTAGACAGTACACATGCCATGCAGGAATGCCAAGAGGCAAGAGGGGTTTAATTAATTTTGTTGCGTCTTTATCCATTCAAATTGTGAACCTTGGTTAAAAGAAAAAGAATCAAACTTTATATTATTGTATAATTAATTAACAAAGTCTTAAATTTTTGTGGTGTTTGTTTATTGTTTGCTCCATGTCCTTGGGCTGCAGAAAGAGACATTGGAGTCTTGAGCAAAGGCATGGGTGATGGGTGATGATYAGATCAGCTGCTGCCATCGTCTTCTTTTTGCTGCACCACTGTCCCATATAAACTTTGGATCTGAAAGGTTAATTATTAAAAACAAATAAATAATTTATTTACTCTTTTCTGAATTCTGCCTACGGGTATTCCTCCATTATTGCATGATTTTGTAATTTTGTGATGCGCCCTCAGCAAATGCATAACACTCCCCATAACTCATCAGAATTTTTGGATGGTATAGAAGGGGGTGAGAATTGTAACAATAATAACAAAAAGAAAAAGAAAATTAATTAATTAAGGGAAGTGGGTTTAGAAGATATTGTTCCCACTGGGCAGCAGAAAAAGATGGAGAAGAACAAAGATGCTGAAAAGATGAAAAAAGGGGAAGGGAAATTGGAAGGGGAGTCCCTTGATTGACACGTGGGGTTCTTCCCCCACCCTTTAGAGACAAGATGTATGGAGGAATATGCTTTAGGCACTAGCTGAGCTGGGTCATAATTCTGGGGATAACACAGAGATCAGGAAAAAAGAAAAAAAAAAACACCACCCCCTCCCATTGACCAATGAGAGCTCAAAACCTGTAAATTTGGGTGCCCAAATTGGTTTCACCAAATGAGGAAACTGGGTCCACCACATACACATTTCTTTGTAAAGCTTGCATCCCAAAAATGTCGTGATATGAGTGATTTTCCATAAATTTGTTAAAATGCATGCTCTCTACTGATCAAGAATCATATCCTTTTTTTTCCATCCTCTCCCATTATAGACCAAACACAATACCAATCTTATCTTTTCATCAGGTTTCTACTTATAAACAAGTGAGAGAGAGAGAGAGAGAGAGAGAGAGAGAGAGAAAAGAACATAAAACCTTAGTGCAGCCATAGATGTCTACTGATCTAGCTTCTTTACGTGTTGGTTAAAGAAAGAATTTGAGACACTTGGTCACAAATCAAAATAGAGTTTGATAAACTATTTTTTTTGTTTTTGGGTTGGGGTGGAAAAAGGAGGAGAATATGGCCTGGTTTGTTGGAGCTCCAATTGAAATTGTGTAATTATTTCAAAAGGTATTTTATGATTGAATTCCCACTTTCCAAGAATTTTCTTTTGTGGGTGTTTCGGGTAATGGGTGGAATTCCTACTCAGATAAAAACGCCCCCCCACTAAGGCCTCTCCTCTTGCATTGCTTAATGCTTATGAATCAATCCGCAATCCGCAGCCTTTGTTATATGCTCATTTTCCTACCACACTTGGCTAGACAACAACTTCTCAAGTACCACATAGAGGTCTATTTTTTCATTTACGTGTTGGAATTCTATTACTTCATCGTCACCACCCTACACAAACTTTAATCATTTCATGCATCCAGATAACAATAGAATGGACACACACTACACAGTCACCTAATATATAACTATAGAATATATATCAAAATTTGTTGTAGTTCCAAGAAATGGACATGAAATTGAATTGAATTGATGCATGTGGTGTGTGAAATGGATTAGGGATGGAGAGGCAAATTAAGAGAGAGTTTGAGAATTAGGGGGATCGGATATGGCATATGAATTGGCCTTGCCAACGTTTTTTACCAAAGCTTTTTTTTTTTTCCTTTTTGGATAAGGCCGTAGCTCTCTCTTTCAACGAATTTGAATTGAAACAATGCCCACAGAGAAAGCCCCCCTCTCCCCCAAATTGCCCATCTTCTTTCCGAGAGTTGAGTTTGAAATTCAATCTAGGTCTGTTGAATTTTTCTCATTTCTTAATTAATGATCAGCCGTCACAATTGACTCCTTTTTTTTTTCTAGGTGGAATTCCTATGTTGTAAAAAAATAGAAGATACATAATATTGACTAGTAAAGATCTATGTTCATCGGTATTAAAAAATTGACAGCTTAATTTATTTAAAAAGATGATATATTCTTTTACATTTTTTTTCTTAGGTGTCAAACATCAAGGAGCAATAGAAGATAACTGTTCGACCGTCATGATAGTTATTTTCCTTAAAAAATTGTTGTGTTGGTGTTTCTTCCTTGGAATGATTCCCACCCATGCTTTTTACCTTTCTTTTTCCTTCTTCTTTAACTCACATACGTGTCTCACATATATTGGTGCACACAGAATACTAACCAAAATGTGATTAGAGGGAAAAAAAAAAAGAACATAACCTTATTTTTTCCCATCTTTCAAATCTTACCACACAAATTAATTAATGAATTTGGTTTTCTAGAAAGAATATTTTTATGGGTGGAGCGAATGACTAAGATATCTTAACCACCTAGCTATATTAATGTTA